AAGTCAAACCTTTCTAATGGGGAGGACAGTGGGCACAGCTAACCAGAAAGTTAGCATTGCTAACTCATAATCTGCTAACTAAAAATGTAGCTTCACCAAACTGTTAAACATGTATCAAAAATAAAATAAGATAAGATAAGATAAGATAGACCTTTATTGTTATTGTACAGAGCACAATGAAATTACAGTTCAGAACAACCATTCACAAGAAGACAGAACATAACAAACATTGGAGAACAGGTGCTCTGGGTCATGCAGCCACACACCCTGCACAGAGCAAGGATCATAGGCTGTGTCCAAAACGACAGGTCGGGTCCTCCGGAGGACCCAGACTACCCGATCGAGGTGGGCCGGGTCCTTGGTAGACCGGGAAGACCAGAAAAAAAGAGGCTGTGAATTTGGACGGTCTAGCGTCCCGTCCTTACGTCATGTCACCTAGCAACTGTGACGACGCTAAACAAGCTAACTTAAATCAAAACCAGAAAAATATCAATATATTAGCATTATTAATATGACAAAACTATAAAATTAACTTAAAGGTAACAGTTGAAGAACTAATTGACCCGCTGTAGGTGCATGTTTATTTCACGTTTTTTTATGACAAAAAATATTTAAAAACATGTCTTTACAAATGATAAAAGTATTAGAATTACAACCGCTAAAAAAATTTAATTTTTATATCGCCACATTTTTATTTAAAACATATTCTTTTGTCTCGCTTCGTCCGTAATTACTAGCTTTAAAAAAATCTCCAGTCAGGCCGCAAAACATTATGGGATACGCTGGGCCGGGAAGGATCCATCAGACCTGTCCTTCAAATCGAGGAAAAGGAAGGACGTATTTGTCGGCCRCATCGGAGGAGTCTTCGGTTTTGGACGGCCTTCGTCGCGGCGCTGTGACGTATGCGGCCGACGAATTCGGCCTTCGGAGGACCCGGCCTGCCGTTTTGGACACAGCCATAATAAAATATTTAACACAGTTTTGGCATATTTAATAATGGAAGCTAATACTAAACTATAAGAAAAAAAATAGCAGAAGCTAACACTAACAACTAATCGCTAACCATTAAAGGTTGGGATATAGTCGTACTTTTGCGTACACACTCGACAGCGGTGCAGTTATTTATACTTGACGCTATGTTGTTGTAGTATTCTCCAAAAGGACATTTGGCAGTACACTTTATAACTTGTGAAAATGTTGTAGGATAGCAAAGGCTTGACAGACAAACAATTTGAATGGTGCGCGGCACATGCAACCTTTGCAGAGTTACAAAAATTTGTAGGTTCATGACCACGCAGGGGCAAACGCGCAAGCACGGGGCAATTCCATCACTATTGCGCCTCCTCACTCGGGGCAACGCGTCAACTATAAACCTAGCTTAAAGGGATCCCCTATTAGTTGTAACATTAGACTTTATTTGATAAAAGTTTATTTTAACTGTAAAATAAAGACTAAAAATAATGTAGTCTGTTTAGTTTCATAAATTTTTTGAAATATATTTTAACACGGACGGAGCCATTTTATTTACACGCAAAGCATTCTGGGTAAATGTTGATGTCGATAGGTCCTCGGTGTGAGCGAGCTATATCCACCCTGAAGGTTAATCTTGGACAATATCTGATGATCGACTCTTTTAAATGAAACCAGAGAGCGTTGACAGAGAGGAGAAGGTAGAAATGACTCAGMCTGGAACTGAAAATATGGATGGAGGACAACAGAGCTGCTTCATGGAAGAACCTCAGCTTAGCCTGTTAGCCTTCACGCTAGCACTGAGGCTAAAGCTCGGTGCTAGCATGACACGCTAACAAGCTAAACTGAGGTCCTCCATCCATATTTTCAGTTCCAGGCTGAGTCATTTCTACCTTCTCCTCTCTGTCAACGCTCTCTGGTTTCATTTAAAAGAGTCGATCATCAGATATTGTCCAAGATTAACCTTCAGGGTGGATATAGCTCGCTCACACCGAGGACCTATCGACATCAACATTTACCCAGAATGCTTTGTGTGTAAACAAAATGGCCCCGTCCGTGTAATATATTTTTAAACTTTTAGTTTAAAAATTATAAAAACTAAACAGCCTGCAGTATTTTTAGTGTTTATTTTACTGTTAAAGTATATGTTTATCAAATAAAGTCTAATGTTACAACTAATCATGGATCCAACACTTCTTCGTCTCCTTCCAGCTGATTGAACTGACACAAACCTGTTGATGTTAGCTTGTTAGTTAGCGGATGTAAAGTTGGGAAAACATAATTTACATGGAAACTAATCCGTCCGCTAACAGTTTTCAAATTTATTTAAAAAGCTAATCCGCTAAATGAAAAGATAGTTGGTTAGCAGAACCACACCCACCTCAAAGGTCAGAACTCTCCCAGAAATGGATTGCGGCAATCAGATGTGCAATATCTATTTTAGTTCCGAAGTTCTCAACACAGAAAGTTGTAAACTGTTGTTGTCTGTCACAGGTAAATGAAGATGAAAGCCCAGGTTGTTGTTGGAACTTTCTGTTTTAACATTTGAACCACAAAATGTTGCAAATCTGATTGCTGCAAATTGAGACCATTTCGTCTACTTTGACACGCCACCTTTCCATTGGAAAAAACTTGCTTTTGATCCAGTATGGCGGCTTTCAAGATGGCGGCCATGTTCCAGATACAGTCTACCTCCTCACCCGTTATTTACTGTGGTATTCAGATAGTTTATTTTCCCTTTCGTTTCTGAAATAAAAGGGTGTCCTGAGACTTTTGACTCACATATTGAGGGAAATGAAAAGATGTGAAGTGGATTGAAGGAGATAAACATAAATATTGAGAAAATACTTGTTGTATTACTTAACTAAACTTTGAGAATGTTCTTTACAGATGATCTAACCTCTGGTTAGAGTTGTTATGGCCGTTGCTGCCGTCTGATTGGACATAAAAATCGTCTGCAGGGATGAAGTGTCCGTCGAAGTGAGGGACTAATCTGTCTGAGGCTGTGATAACCCCTGACCACCCATCCACTGGTGGGGGGGGGGGGGGGGGTCAGAGAGGGCGCTGGGACGCTCAAGTACCACCATTACACTCATTCCGCTTCAGCGTACAAGCCTCCGGTGCCTGATGGATGCCTCTGAGAGAGGATTTGGCGCCGCTGTGGTGTGTGTTATGAAGAATGCACTTTAATATATTGCTTCTGTGTCTGAAGGAGGGGGGGGGTCTCCTGGTCCATGTGAACGAAACAGAGGTAATCAAGTAAAGAGTTTCATTCAGTTCCTCTGATGGAGGATCTGTGGGGGGTGGGCACATCCATCCTCAGCTGGTCCATCAGCTCCTTTAAGCTTCCCCATCACTTCAGTTAATCCAGTTTTTACTTTGGACCAAAACAGAGTGAGATTAAAGGTCGGGGGTTTCAGAGCTTAGACCTCCCATCATCTTACCCTGAGAAAGGACTTGGGTTCTTGCTGTTCTGGTCGAATCTCTCATCAGATTTAGGAAGATTTTGCACAATGTGTTCAGAGTCTGTGTTAAGGATGACTCTCAGCTACTACCTCTGCAAGTTTCAGCCCAGCAGCTGTAAATTTGATGGAGTTACAGCCTATGAAGCTAAATTTGGGTCATAAAGTTTGTTTAAAAAATAAAAATAAATGAAAGAAAATTTTGGAAGTTCAAAAGTAGTTGTATCATAAAATTGACCAAGTATGGCAGACCATTGTATTATATAATGAAAAAATATGTCAGGCTTTGTATCATATAATAAAAATATTTGGCAGGCCATTATGTCATATAATTAACCATTTATGGCAGACCATTGTATTATATAATAAAAAAATATGTCAGGCTTTGTATCATATAATAAAAATATTTGGCATGCTATTATATCATATAATTAACTGTGTATGGCAGACCATTGTATTATATAGTGAAAAAACATGTCAGGCTTTGTATCATATAATAAAAAAAACATTTGGCAGGCCATTATATCATATAATTAACCAAGTATGGCAGACCATTGTATTATATAATCAAAAAAATATGACAGGCTTTGTACCATATAATAAAAACATTTGGCAGGCCATTACATAATTAACCATGTATGGCATACGATTGTATTATATAATGAAAAAATATGTCAGGCTTTGTATCATGTAATAAAAAATATTCGGCATTATAATATAATTAACCATGTATGGCAGACCATTGTATCATATAATGAAAAAATAAGGCGGGCCCTTTTTTCACATAAAAAATGACAGGCTGATAATTAATATAATTATTATATCTATTTTAGTTATAATTATATAATAAAAATATGACAGGCCATTGTTTCAAATAATCAAAAAATATGACAGGCTGTTGCATCATAATCCAAAAAATACGGCAGGTTGTTGTATCATATAATCAAAAAATATGGTAGGCCGTTATATAATTAAAATTTATGGCAGGCCGTTGTGTCAAATAATCAAATAGGCTGTTGTATCATATAGTTAACAAATATAGAAAAAAATGTTATATATATTTCAGTTTAAATTTATTTTTCTCAGTTTCAAAAAATGTCAGTGTAAAAAAAAATTATCTGAACAAACTATGTCCCCAGTTTAGCTTCATAATAGCCTTTTTGTGTTAGCTAAACCAGATTAGCACCAGCAACCACTTTAAACTGGGTTTTGTTAAAACCCATTCAGTGTTATGAGATATTTTGCTAACGCTACAGATAAAAGTTGTGCAAAATATTTTTGCTGCTTTGCCAAAATGAACCTAACTCCATCTGCAGGAACAGAGAAACATAGTTATTGTGTGTAAAAACATGACGCTTGTGAGTTGTGGAGGAAATCTCTGGAGGTATAATTAACAAGACACAGTCGGATTCTGGTTTTGAGCACAGACACGAAGGATAAAACTGGCACCGCTTCCCAGTCCTGGTCCTCGGAGGCCAGTACCCTGCGAGAACCAGTATTGGAACCCAGTTTTAGAGCTGGTTTTTTGCTTCAGCACACCTGGTTTAAACCAGGAGAAAACACAGATTACAGAATCAAATAGTGAAGTTTTATTTAATGATCTGAAAACATTCCAACATGATGCTGCAGCAGCATCTTTGTCTTGTATATTTTATGTATTTATATCAGTGAATTCTGCTGCAGTGTTAAGGTGTTACAGGAGATAATTTAACTGTTTGTTCCCTCCTGGTGTTGAACACAACGATCAAAGGGCGGCGATCAGGCGGCGGACAGAGAAGTGATAATCCTGCGGTGACCTTATCTCCGGCTGACACGCGCCTCCCGGAGGCAAGCAGCCGTTGGACGGGTGACATTAGAGCTGCTCGCTCTCAGAGTCCATCTGTTAGAGGGCTGACGGCGTCGTCTCAGGCCCCGCCCCCTCCCAGCCTCACAGGATCATGGCCAGCCAGCCGGCCATCATAGCCACGCCCCCCACAGGAGCCATCTTGCCCAGACTGGGGTCCCCCGTCAGAGCCTGGTGGTACAGGGGTCCGCAGAACATCCCCATGCCTGCGATCAGGATGGTTCCGGCCTGAGAGGAGGACAGTTTGTTTGTGATCTGAAGGGCAGCAGGTGAAGTGTTGTGAAACCTGACAGGTTCAGCAAAACGTCCCAAACTTTCATCATTTTCATCTCTTCAAACAAACGTTGCTTTATTTTTATTTCTTATGCTTCTTTTCTTCTTCACATACTGTCTTACAATCCTACTTTTTTAGCTACTGTCTTCTTAAGTTTAGGTTTTAGCTACTATCTTACTAATATTAGCTCATAGAGCCAGCCTTGCTAATTTTAAATTTTAGCTACTGTCCTACCAAGTGTAGCTTTTAGCTACTGTCTTCATTTTAAATTTTAGCTTCTGTCTGACCAATTTTAAATTTCAGCTACTATGTCACTATTGGTTCTGACTAAATAATAATTTAGCTACTGTCTTCATTTTAAATTTTAGCTTCTGTCTCACCAATTTTAAATTTCAGCTACTATGTCACTATTGGTTCTTAGCTACTGCCTTACTAAATATTTTAGCTACTGTTCTACAAGTTTTAGCTTTTAGCTACTGACTTCTTAATTTTAGCTTGTAGTTGGTATCCTACTAATTTAAGCTCTTAGCTACTGTCTTACAAATTTTAGCTTTTAGCTACTGTTTTATTAAATTTAAATTTCAGCTAATGTCTTACTAATTTTCAATTTTGGCTACCCTCTCGCTAATATTCGTTCTTAGCCACTGCATTAGTAATTTTACACTTTAGCTACTGTCCTATAAGTTGTATTTTTTTAGCTACTGTCCTACCAAGTGTAGCTTTTAGCTACTGTCTTATTCATTTTAAAATTTAGCTTCTGTCTCAACAATTTTAAGTTTCAGCTACTATGTTACAATTGGTTCCTAGCTACTGCCTTACTAAATAATATTTTAGCTACTGTTCTACAAGTTTTAGCTTTTAGCTACTGACTTCTTAAGTTTAGCTTGTAGTTAGAACCCTACAAATTTAAGCTCTTAGCTACTGTTTTATTAAATTTAAATTTCAGCTGTCTTATTAATTTTCAATTTTAACTACCCTCTTGCTAATATTCGTTCTTAACATCTGGCTTAGAAATTTTTACATTTTAGCTACTGCCTTTTCAAGTTTAGCTTTTAGCTATTGTCCTACATGTTTAGCTTTTAGCTATTGACTTGTAAATTTTAGCCTTTAGCTACTGTCGTACTAAATTCAGCTTGTGGTTAGTATCCTACTAATTTAAGCTCTTAGCTACCGACTTCTTAATTTTAGCTTGTAGTTAGCACCCTATAAATCAAAGCTCTTAGCTACTGTCTAACAAATTTTAGCTTTAACTATTGTCCTATATGTTTAGCTTTTAGCTACTGACTTGTAAATTTTAGGCTTTAGCTACTGTCTGACTAAATTCAGCTTGTAGTTAGTATCCTACTAATTTAAGCTCTTAGCTATTGTCCTACATGTTTAGCTTTTAGCTACTGACTTCTTAATTTTAGCTTGTAGTTAGCATCCTATAAATCAAAGCTCTTAGCTACTGTCTAACAAATTATAGCTTTTAGCTACTGTCCTACAAGTTTAGCTTTTAGCTACTGTCTTTCAAATTTTAGCTTGTAATTAGTATCCTACTAATCTTAGCTTTAAGTTACTGTCCTAATGACAGCTTTAAGCTAATGTTAGCCAATTTACATTTTAGCTATCATCTGACTAAGTTTAGCTTTTAGATTTTGTCCTGCAAGTTTTAGCTTTTAGCTACTGTCTTCCTAGTTTTAGCTTGTAGTTAGCATCCTACAAATTTAAGCTCTTAGCTACTGTCTAACAAATTTTAGCTTTTAGCTACTGTCCTACAAGTTTAGCTTTTAGCTACTGTCTTTCAAATTTTAGCTTGTAATTAGTATCCTACTAATCTTAGCTTTAAGTTACTGTCCTAATGACAGCTTTAAGCTAATGTTAGCCAATTTACATTTTAGCTATCATCTGACTAAGTTTAGCTTTTAGATTTTGTCCTGCAAGTTTTAGCTTTTAGCTACTGTCTTCCTAGTTTTAGCTTGTAGTTAGCATCCTACAAATTTAAGCTCTTAGCTACTGTCTAACAAATTTTAGCTTTTAGCTACTGTCCTACAAGTTTAGCTTTTAGCTACTGTCTTTCAAATTTTAGCTTGTAATTAGTATCCTACTAATCTTAGCTTTAAGTTACTGTCCTAATGACAGCTTTAAGCTAATGTTAGCCAATTTACATTTTAGCTATCATCTGACTAAGTTTAGCTTTTAGATTTTGTCCTGTAAGTTTCAGCTTTTAGCTACTGTCTTCCTAGTTTTAGCTTGTAGTTAGCATCCCAATGATTTAAGCACTTAGGTACTGTCCTGCTAATGACAGCTTTAAGCTAGCGGATTTACTTTATCATGACAAATTTTAGGTTTTAGCCACAGTTTAGTTCATTTTAAACAGTCTTTTTGTAAATAAACGTGTTGTGTTTACACGTGTAAATGTGTGTAGTTGTATTTAAACTCACCAGCAGAGGTTTCCCACAGTGAGCTGCACCCAGCAGGGCCAGGCTGTGGTAGAAGTGATATTTGTTGGCCGTTTCATAAAGCTGGAAAATAAAACAGGAACAAAGAGACACGATTCAATAGTTTCTGAAAACAAAACATTTTCAAGAAAAGGTCAGAAAAGGGCTCCTGCTCTCTGATGCTAATTAGTCTGCATGGATAATTAATGAAGCACTGGTTAATAAGAGGGAAAAGGGCGAGCAAAAAGAAAAACAAACCTGAGCTTCCTAAACAATATCACCTCCAAACATCACAGATTAATGAACTGAAATATAATTATTTGATTTTAACTTTTTTATAAAACATTACCGATATCCTGTAGTCATCAGGATCCCTGTTCTTGAAACCTGTGGATTATAAAAAGAGACACAAACTGCATGTAAAAAGTGATAACCAGTTAATGATTAATCTGTGCTGAAAACTTAGACAATCATTGTTTTAACATGGCTAACTGGAGAGGAATCACCTTCATTACCAAACAGTTTATTTGACTAAATTAAAGTGGAGTTATACACACCATTCTAACGCCGAATAATGTATCATCCTAAAATACATTTGACATGGATTCATTCTTTCATTTAAACATTTCAGCTGGGCTAAAAAAGAAAGCGAAATCTAAATTGCCATGTTTTTGCTACGGAGACTGGAACGGAACAACGTAAGTCCTGTTTCTGGACTCTGGTTTAATGCTCGGATAAATTAGAAGACTGGATAATAAAAATAAAAATTATTTATCTACCGTGAGCTCCGTAAGCTCCCAGTCCCACCGCAGAAGTTCCCGAAAGAGCTGCTAACCTTCGTACCACAGAAGCTGTCATGTTTTTACTCCACAAACTCAGATGGCGCTGCTGCGTTCACGGGCTTTACGTAAATTCTAATGTCCACGCCCCCTTTAATAAAAAAAACATCAGTTTTTATTCATTTAAATAAAACTCTTATAGTATGAAACCAAAAAAGTAATAACATATTTACTAAATTTTATTAAATTACGTTATATATCTAGTGCATAGCTCATACCTTCGATAATTTACAAATTTTCCTGGAAGGTATTCTTAAATACAACATTGGTTTGCGTTATTGAAGGCAGCGGTGATGAGGTTTTAAGTCGAGCCAAAATGGCGGCCTATGCTCCACAGTTTCTCCCCTCGGGTTTAACTTTCAGTGCCTTTGAGTGTCGCGATGCCATGAATACATTTGTCCAGACCTTTCATCCTCTTAATGTGAATCTGTTGCTACGTTAACGTTCACAGAAAACACCTGAAGGCATTTACCAACTGAACTGTGTTTAATCATTTTTACTGTCAGTGTTGGGCTTGAAGACAAAAATAAAATAAAATAAAAAATAAAATAAAATAGAAATCAGATTTTATAAATTGTTAATGTCTTACCTGCTGTAGGAAGTTTATATGAGCCATTACATAGACATTAATTTTGGTTTATGTGGTCATTTTGGCAGAAAAGAACTCCCCTCTTAGAAATTTGGAGAATTTAGGAAATTTATTAGAATTAAAAACGAAGAAGCTATTACAGCGGGTAAAATAAGTATTGAACACGTCAACATTTTTCTCAGTAAATATATTACTAGAGGTGCTAATGACATGAAA